ACAGAGGGCGCTGGTAGTTAATGGTGGAGAATCGTTCAGGTCGCTTAAGGTCGATCTTCTTGTCCATGTCCGGGTGTCATTAGTGGTTCTCCCAATGTGTCGTCAGCAGGTGTGTGTCCCTTGTTAAACTTCCTTGATATCTAACTACTGTAGTAAAGATAATTTGTGGCGTAAATTAAACACTGTAATGGTTCTGAAAGAACGGTTAAATTGGAGGATATTGAAGAAGAGGCAGATGACGACCACTTAAAGTTTATGAAGCCAGGAAGGTGGCAAGGGACAGTCGTATAAAGGAATGCCGTGAAATCAGCAACATTCTGCAAAGGACCTGCTACGTGATGATGATGAATTCTTGTAAGCACTTTACGGTACAACAAAGTATGCAGTAAAAACCTCTAAGGGGCGGGAGTAATACGAGCACAAACGAAGCATCAAACCGGGTGCGATGACGCCAACACACACACACACACACACACACACACACACACACACACACAAACTCACACACTCAGACACACACACACACGCATGCTCATAAAAACATTTCCAGCGTGCACCAAGAGGAGGTTGGGTTGACCTGAGTGCTCTACGGGTCATTGGCAGGCTACTTACATTTCAATTTTCACCTCTCCGAAAAGAAGCTAGCCAACCTCAACACTGCTGGATGTCCTCAAAAGCCTGAACCAGGTTGAAGACGTATATTTTCGGAAGAGGGAGAGCAGATCGGGAATTAGAAACAATATGCCAACGAGCCAGTTCACGTATACACCAACGGACACAGTTATTACTCGTAAGACAATGTTGAATTAAGAATCGACATCATAGCACTCGGGACACTTCCATAAGCGCTCCCTTCCCATCTTCAGCAGCAAGCAAAGAGTTCAGATTCTGATGGTACGGGTCATTGTCTTATTGTCTTGTCTTGTCTTGTCTTGTCCACAATTACCTCACAGCGTAGTGGGGAGTCGCAGTTTTCTATCCTGGGCCAGGTGTGTTGCACGTAGTGTTGTTAGTCCGTGTTGCCTCAGGATATCTGATATATTGTCTATCCATCGTACTCTCGATCTGCCTCTTGCTCTAGGGCAGTAGTGCTGTTCGTTGTATGCTCGTAGAGGCAGTTGGTCGGTTTGCATTCGCATCAAGTGGCCAAACCACTTTATTTGTTGCTTCTTTATGTATTGCAGGCATGGTGTGGTTCCTACAATTGATCTAATGTTCTCGTTTCGAACTCTGTCTCTCCTTGTGACATTGGCAGCCTTACATAAGCATCTCATTTCGCTCGTCTTTATCTTTTGTTTCCTGTGCTCTTGTTAGGGACCAGGTTTGGCATTGGTGGCAGAGGGTTGGTATAAACATGCAATTTATCAGTTGTCGTTTTAGTGCCATAGTGATGCTTGGGTGTTTTAGCAGTGGGGAGAGTTGGTAAGTTACTGCGTTCGCCTTTTGACATCTTGCCTCAAGTTCCCTATCAATTCTTCCATCATCTGTGAAGATGCTCCCCAAGTATTTAAATTGCTGCACTTGTTTGAGTTGTTCGTTGTTAACTTGAATAGTTAGTATATTAGGTGTTCTACTTATTTTCAGAATTTCTGTTTTGGTGATGCTGATCTTATTGTACATCCATCTATTAGGTGTTTAGCGTCAGCCTGATTCCCTGATAACTCCACGCAGCACCTTCTCCTCAGAGCGTAATAGTCTGTGTCTGCCTCCGCACTGTTCACTCGCTCCCAAAGGGCCAAACATGTCTGAGAAACAGATTATAAACATCATACCCATACCAAAACTCTGCTACCAGTACCAGACTTTGACATTACCAAAGGCAGACGTGAAAACGGATGATGATGATCCAGTACCTGTTTCATTATGTTTGTTCGAGCTCTTTTCAAGTCAAGAAACAGAAGCAACAATAGTCGCGTGAAGGGGCAATATAAGATCATAATGTGATTTAATTATAGGGAAAAAAGTGAGTCAGGTTGATGAATAAAAATATAAGAGGAAATTAAAACACTGATCGCTCGCTGCAAAGACAGAGGTTCTCTTTTTCCCAAGCAGCGCATCATACGTTCATAGGTTCCTACCTGTAAGCCCAATTAACGCATGATGCGTCGATTTTAGTCTCTCGCTACCCCTTGAGCCGCCCGGCTCTCTAGCGAAGTTGGTTGAACCTGACGTTCGCGGTGGTCGGGTGACGAACTCCTTGTGGTCCGGGTTCACTCCCGGGGGTAGGCAGAAAAGCCACATTTCTCCCAGATTAACGGTACCTATTTTAGCCCGGCTCTCTAGCGAAGTTGGTTAAACCGGACTTTCGCGGCGGCCGGGTGACGAACTCCTTGTGGTCCGGGTTCACTCCCGGGGGTAGGCAAAAAAGCCACATTTCTCCCAGATTAAACGGTACCTATAATGGAATCAAGGCCGAAGGGTTGCGATATCCATAGTACCGAGCCAAAGGGTTTACAACTCATGGTTTCTGGATACGTAAAAAAAAAAAAAAAAAAAAAAAAAAAAATTAAAAAAAAAAACCCCCTTGAGCCTGTGCTAAACCCCCTAGGACTCAAAGAGTTAACAAAGTAGGCCTATGGCTCTGTGGCTTTGAGATAAGTTCTAACCACTAGGCCAGCCCTTCCTCCCAGGAAATATAGACCATCTGTATTGAACATGTTGTGTTGTATAATGGAGAATCTTGGAATGAGACCAAACAGATTAGCAAGAACTCGGAGAGACCACTGAGTTAATTTTGTCAATGCTTATCTGACACTGGCGGCGTCTGAGGTTTAGGCGTTGCAAACGGGTTTCGTTATGCGGGGATGCCGGGTTCGATCCCAGCTGAAGGGGATTTGGCAGCAGACAGCATTGGTTTCGACAGTCGTGTCGGGAGCCGACCGTTGAGTACAATGGTAAAATACTGAAAAAAATAACTAGAAAAAACGCAACAGCACACACACACAATTATTTGCTGGTGTTGGTTCTGCAACTCATTCCATTCCATTCTTTTTTTTTTTTTAAGCAAAGGAACTTGACTACGTTCAACCTGCTGTTGGCAGCGAAGTTGCAGTAAGGCTCGGTCCCTCTCGGCGTATTGGGTGTTCACATGCTGAGAGGGTTAAACAAAACACGAAAGCTCGTGACTGCAACGATGTCCGCCTGGAATTCTCAAAACATATACAGGATTGGATTGAATGACAAATTCTGAAAACAAAATCACGTCTTCCAGAGCAAAATGCTCGATATCTTTGCTATGGAGATCTTCTCTTTATCATCATCATAGTCATGTGACCCAGCTATCTGGCCGACGCTCAACACGCAAGAGAAAGGCGAGACGGATGTAAAATCAGTCAGTTCCTGATGCTATCAAAATTGAACTCTTCGCTCGCTCCTGAAGATGAGAACGGGGTTCTAATGGGAGTGTCCCGGGTGCTATGATGTCGATTCTTAAATCAACAATCAGGATAGTCATATAACACCGCGGGTCGGGGGGTCACCAACTGCTGTAGACTGTCTTTAGATCCATCTACTTCTGTTGGTCAAATGCAAGGGACTGGATGTTTGAGGCACGCCGGGGCGGTACAAAAATTATACAACATTACAAAACTATGGCTAAGCACCAGCAAAGAAATCAAAGTTAAAATTTTGAGAGTATGCATCTTCCCTGTAGCAACATGCGGGTGTGAGTAGTGGATATTTCGCAGACACTAATGAAGAAAATAGGGGCTTAGAGGTGACATTCTATAGAAAGATTCTCAAAATTCCATGGACAAAGAAGAAAAAAAAAAAAAAACCAAAGAAATACTGACATCCTAGAAGACCTGAACACCAAGGAAGATTGGCTAATAAACAATTTATTGTCTAGAAAGTTGAAATTGAAAAAAAAAAAAAAAAAAAAAAAAAAAAAAAAAAAACACACCGTGCCAGGAAGAAGGGGCAGGAGCCGACCAGTAAAAATATAGGCACAGGATATAAATGACTCCTTAGGTATGCAAGTGCATGAGGCGGAAGAGCTGGCGAGAGACGGAATTTCTTTCAGGCGGACCGTGATGAGAGCGACGTTCTGCCAAGGACCTGCTACATGATGACGATGACTGTAATAGACAGCTGGTAACAAATAATGTGCCACCACTCAGACGAGAATCGCTCATGCACAAGTCCTAGAAACCCCGTTTAACAACAACTGGGATAGGGATTTAAAAATAACTGTTGGTATTTGTTTGCTAGCACAGGCACCACTTTCATTCCATGAGGATGGACTAATGTCATCCCTACGACACAACCCTGGTTACGCCTTATTGGCCACCCTCTCCCGTTTCCTTCCATCTTTAGACACTCAGTGTACGCTGTTGTGTCTGTGAGCGTCTACTCCTCCTCTTTCCTAGATATACTGACCCTGTTTTCCGTTCCCGTCCGCGATTTGGTGATATATAGGCTAGTACCTGTCCTAGTCATCCTCATATCCTGTCATCTCCTTGTGAGATGCAATTTTTCTCTATTTTGAAGCCCCACCCTGGCTCTTGCCATGGGCCGCAATATAGCCCTAGCATAAATCTAGTCTAATGGCTGAACGCGGTTTCTGGGACCTCTTCACGGGTGATCCCCATTCACATGGTGGCACTCTGTGTCATCGGGTGTTTATCGCTTGTGTGATGTCCTGGTGACATATAAGTCTACTAAAAACTAGTCATCCGATTGAACGAAGTTTTTCGCCAGGGACACAGATGAGTATCATTTATTTTTTACATTAAAGTCTTATGTAGTTACTTCATAGTTAGATCATAGCCTATTTGTGTATGTGTACTGTGTTGTTCTTTATGTGCCGATGAAGGCTAATCGCCGCAACCTCCTTTGTTTGTTTATTGTGATCGATTTTGTAAAGCTAACATAAACTGTTTAAAATGTTCTACCCCTTTAAAAACCTCTCTCGGGTTTACTTTGCTTCTAAGAAGGGAAATAAGTAGGATTATCTGTATCCAGGGAGAGCACTCTCAGTGTTTATTATTTTTCAAACAAACATGGCAGGTGTAGGTTCGCTCAACGAAGAAGCGTTGAAAAGAAAAGAACGTCTAAAGGCGCTACGAGAGAAGCACGTCGAGCAGACAGATAATAATGTGAACGAAGAAAAAGAAAGATTACCTAGGTCAGTTGTGTAAACATTTTCTTTATAAATATTATTGGTTTTCAGAGTGAGTTAAAACTATAAAACTAAAACGTTACCGTTAAAAGTAAGCTACACCGCACCTATCATCATTCGTGTAAGTACGACGAACAATTCAATAATATTAATAATAATAATAATATTAATAACATTAGCTTTGTCTTTACCTCAATCGGGTCGGAGAAAAGGATGTAAATGAGTATGTAATATTAATTATAATATAAATTGGTTTCTTTACTGTTTTGTGTCAGTCTGTGTGTGTGGCTTTGACACAATAATATTTCGATTTAATGAATTTTTTGAAAATTTATGCACATCTATAGTAGACACTTTAGTGAATCAGCAAATGATAAATATACATTTATTAGTTAAGCAATGACAATAATGGGCTATCCTCCTAATAACGGCCACATAATATGGCGGCCAAAAATACACCCTGACAGGGCCTCATTATGCATTATGTCATCTGTCATGTGTTGTAAACATTCAAAAACTTGAACTCGAAATAATGAGGAATAAAAAAAAGGGAAAATGACCAAATCAACTACTTAGCGATTATTGAGGCCTTTATATCTGAACATATTGGGACAGAAGTTGCAAATACTGCCCGAAAATCTGCTCTTTGTGGCTGTAGCACCATTGAAACTCGGCTAAACATGATCGGTGCTGTATTGGTAAACGTAGTTTTCACCACCGAGAGAATCTCCCGCTAAACTAGATGGCTGGGACTCACGAGCAAATAAATTGGAGGATGTTGCAGGAGATGCGGTAGCTGCTGCTTGTTAGTCGGTGAGAACACTATCGCTAACCTGCGTCGGAGCCGGTGCTCTCCCCGCCATGTTGCTAAAATTGCGTGTATTGTTGCATTTCTCAAAATTGTCAACGGACAGTATCCTAGTTTTGCCATGATGTGTTCGTCAGAGGAAGTCCGCAATTTACACACGACTGAGGGTATGGTATTTTTTGGCCGCCATAATATGTGGCCGTTATTCGAAGGATAGCCCAATAATGACTTATGGTCAAAGACCGTATTTTTTATTTTAATATTTATGCGCTGAGATTTAGATTTTTAGAGTGACACTTGACTACAACTGCGCTCCCTATGTCAGTGACTAGTTGTTTTCAGCACTAACAGTGTCAAAAGCAAACTATAATATCATTGGAAGGCCGTTTTAAGAAACTTTCCCTAACGTTTGCTGTTTGTTTTAATTTATGTTATGCCCATCCCCAGTGCATGGGTGTGTCCATCAAAAACTCATTTTGAGCAAGACTGTAGTCTGCTGGACCAAATATCCTACTAAATTACAAAACCCTGTTTCATACTTGATGTCATCAGTGCCTAACATGGTCAGTGAATATGGCACTAGAACAGAAAATAATTACCTGTGAAATGCGCTGTCTCCGCAAGGTCACTAACAACACAAGAAGATACAGGGTTACGAATACCAGCATTAGAAAGTTGGAATAAGACCATGTCTGGATGATATTCACAGACAAAGAATGAAATGGTTCAGCCATCTAGTGAGAATGCAGCCAGGCCAAACTGCATAAGAGATTTTTTGAGTAAGAGGAAGACCAAGAAATAGATGGAATAATGGTGTAGCTGAAACCTGAAAAAAAATGAACAAATCCACACCCAAGCTACCCGAGACACGCAAGACAAATAAAGAAAACCACAACACTTCCTTCAAGTGTCCCACTAAAAGAGGGCAAAGGTTCATGTGTTTTACTTGATGACACAAAAGGTTCAAACATCCACTTCACTTGTTGGAGAAAAATGACTGTATAAGAAAGCCATGTCTGATGATGCATGCTACCTTCAAATGCCATGGGGCATCCATGTGAAAGCATTGGCAGAGAGATAAATTTAACATGCTGAGGAAGCAAGATGCCTATTTTATGACAGTATTCAAAGTCTCATATCTTCAGACTGGTTCCTGTGGATCCCTAAGGGTGGAAGGCCCAATAAACAGATGTGATGTTGAGCGTGCATATGAAGTTCGGGATGATTCCTTGGATAAGACCAGTACTTGAGTGCCATGCATCAGCTGTATACTTATGGAAGCCTTTTTGGATGGCAGGCAACACCAGTTTGATGCCCCTGCCTTACCTTGAAGACCTGACCAGTCTGTAAGTGGCTGTCTTGGTCAGGTCCTCTAGGGACAATACCAATGGATTAGTGGATGACAAAGCTACCAACCACACAAGTGAGGCTTTAAAATGTCCCTCAGTGTCCCATGAAACTTATGAAAAGGCTCCCACAGAAAACAAAGGACCAACCGAAGAAGTTGGATGTGTCAGACAAAAGGCTCACAATTTGCAGATATACTATAAATGCGTACAACTCGTTTACATCACTCAGACTGAGGAAGAGGGAAAAGATTGACTGTTGTGGTGGGGTATTAAGTGATTTTTGAAAACTAAAGAATAATTTTAAAACTTATTTACTTATTCAATCCTCTTGTACATTTGGGTGTAGAGATTTGCCAGACAGATAACCAGACTTCTCTATCTGCAGTTGTCTTTTTTTGGCTTTGTTTCACCATAGTGCTCAGTCAGTTATGGACTGTCATATGTTGTCTTCTAAGCAAACCTTGTGTCACACTGGTGATCTGGTTCCCTGGTTTTTGGCCTGCCATGGTGGCAGATTTTCTCCCATTCTGCATACATGTCCAAACCATCACAACTGTGACTGATCCACTCAAGTTTTTAAGGCCTGAGTTTCAAGGTCATGATATATTCTCTGACTGAGTTTAAAAAACCAAAAGACACAATTACAAAGCTCAGTAGAAAAAGCTTTTGTAAATATACAACAGTAATTAAAGAGATATTTTTTCTATGTATTATTCCTATATTATTTCTTGTTTTACTGTTTGAATTTGATTATAAACACAGTAGTTTTTTTTCCTTGTGGAAGGATAACAAAGAGGTCAAAAGTCATAAAATGAGACAGTTTAAAAAAAAAATTACAAGATATTAAAGAAAAATTCAGCCATAGAGTGCCATGCACCAAGAAAAAAAAAATGCTGTCATTCTACAAAATCTAAACAAGAAGGAACCTGGCTTTTAAAAAATCTTGAATTGGGTATTAAAATACTTTACCTGTGTTAAATATTACAGATGTAGAACAAAACAGTAATGGAGGCCACGGCTTCTAAAATTAAGGGAAGATATAGACCGGTCACAGGATGGTAAAGACACCCCTGGCATGAAAGTGCATGATGCTGAAAAATTGTCAACAGGCTGAGTCTTGCTGACAGTGAGACCACCCTGTAGGATGAGCAGCTTGTGTACTAGCCATTGTGCCATTTGGTCCCTAATATATATATAAATATATAAATAAGATTAAACTTTTCTACGTTTTGAGGGCAGCATATTATAAACCTTCATTGTGACACAGTTGAAGTGTCCCTCACTGTCACATTTGAAAAAATGGTGAACAAACAATTATTCCCGACACCGTCCAGAAATATGCAGTAAATGCATATGGCAGTTGCTGGAAGCGTCTAAGCCAACAGTCGCCACTAGAAATGCAGTTTGACAATGGGAGTAGTCAGGCATGATAAGTTAACAAACCTGTAAGCCACACAAGCTTACTAACCCCTGCTCTACCATTGGTATCAGTTTATGTGATAGCAACAAATTATGCCTCACTGTGATGCTTCATGCTTGCAGGCCAATGTTCAGGAGTTATAAACCAGAAAGTGACAGCCTCAAAGACAGTGCCAAGCAGGCAGCAAAACCAATAGATGGTAAGTGATGTGGAATTCTTGTTTTTATCAGTGGATATACAGTACAGGAAGTTTGATATTTCATTTCAGTACTTTCTTTCTGCCTCTCTCTGACATTCAGTGAAAGTGATTTTCACGGACCTGTGTGGCTATGAGATGACAGGGTATGATGATGGTGAATAGTGGACTTACTGCATGTTCAGTAACAAGGTATTTGACAGTAATTTTTTACATAGATACTTTTTATCACAGTACTGGTAAATGATTTCATAGAAAATCAAAGAATCAAATGGTTTTGTCATCTGGTCACAATGGAACAAAATCAGCTGTAGCGGGCTAAAGACAAGAGGCTGACCAAGAAAGAGATGGGTGGATGGAGTGAAAGAGACACTACAGAAACACAGTATGACATTATCACAAAGTACACCTCAAGCAGAAGACAAGAAATTATATTTAACTCCTCTTTGTGATGCTTCAGGACGTAAGCGGTAGGAAATCCAGCATTAAAATAAAAGCAAAGGACACTGTTCATGCCAGATCAATCAGCACTCAGTGGGTGATTTGGTCAACATTTCACCGGCTGCTTCTACTTCCCAGGACATTTCTGGTAACCAGTTTAGGCTGGGTCAGCCCATGAGCAAGGTCAATTTTGATTCAGAATCAAGAGCTTTTGGCTGGCAGACGAGCACCTGGCTACAACTCTACTGCAGTTCCTGAAATGCAGCTTTAGCTAGACCTACTTCTCTCACTATTTGAAACATATCTTCTGATGTTTGAACTTATTGTTTCATTGAGCAAATTCTCTTTACTTGTCTTGTCTTGCCTTGTCTTGTCCACAATTGCCTCACAGCGTAGTGGGGAGTCGCAGTTTTCTATCCTGGCCCAGGTGTGTTGCACGTGTTGTTGTTAGTCCGTGTTGCCTCAGGATCTCTGATATATTGTCTATCCATTGTACTCTCGGTCTGCCTCTTGCTCTAGGGCAGTAGTGCTGTTCGTTGTATGCTCGTAGAGGCAGTTGGTCGGTTTGCATTCGCATCAAGTGGCCAAACCACTCTATTTGTTGCTTCTTTATGTATTGCAGGCATGGTGTGGTTCCTACAATTGCTCTAATATTCTCGTTTCGAACTCTGTCTCTCCTTGTGACATTGGCAGCCTCTTCACTTGTGATATCAAATTTTTTGTGATACCTTATTCTGTGATATCATCATTGTAAGTAAGAAGTTAAATTAAATTATATACATAACTGTATACATTTCAGCATCACGTGTACTGATCTGTAATGTTGATTATTTTCATTGATATCAAAAAGTGTACTGTTCAGATGTATGTGCATACACCTACCTACCTACATGTGTCTGAGAGAAAGGATAGTGAAAGGAGAGAGATAGACATAGCATTTGAGAATATTTGAATATGGCAAACTACTATTGTTTCAGTGAAGGAGTCGATTAAAGATCAGATAGAAGCAGGAAAGACGGATCACATTGTATCAGAAGTGGTAAGTTGAAGATATTCCCCTCTGTTTTTTCATCTTCTTTCATATCCCTCAGTTAATACTCCTCCTCCGTCTTTGGTTTCCTTATACAGTGTATCTCAATGTATGTTGGCTTTGATATACATTCAATTTGTTATATGTCCTGTTTAGATGCAGAAACTTTGTGCATGGTATACGGCAATCAATAAAAAGGCTGAACAATATCTTGAGGCCTCGAAGATGTGGTTTTACAGAAGAATCCTTAGAATTCCTTGGACTGCTAAGAAGAGCAACCCAGATGTTTTGAAAGAGGAAAATATTCGAAGACAACTTATCACAAACGTTAGAAAGGGAGTTATCATTTTTTGGTTGTGTTATGAGAAGAGGGAAAATGGAATATGTTGTGAACACTGTAAAGATCTGTAGAAAAAGAGACAGAGGAAAACAGCATGAAAAGATTCTTGTCTATCTTTTGTCATGGTTTGGAGGGGTATCAACACACAAACTGATACATGCACTTGCAGATCACAGATTGTGGAGAGGCATGATCACCCAGCCAGTCGACAAAGCACTTGATGATGATACAACATTTGTTTAGAATACAATCTGCGTACTAGAACTTGTATGAAGTCAGAATTAGTCACGACACACCGCGCACTATCTTTATTTTACCTTTCTCAAGTCAAAGCCACAGTTAGGGGTGAGTGACTTTGCAGAGAAGTATCACCTACAAAAAGCCTAGAAAAAGCTGAAATAGTATTGTCTGGAATGACCAGTGACAGATTTCCAAAACATCCTGAGGGCAAGGTGGAAGCAAAGTTCTTTAGACAGGTTTTAAGTAAAAAATCCAAGCTGATATGCCACAACCAGGTCTCAGTAGCGAAAAGAAATATGCCAAAACGATAGGAATTTTTCTTTATCAGGATGGACTAATGATTTTCCCTTTATTTCTTCTTCTTGGGGGCTGAGTGGTCTCGAGGCATAGCATCCACCTTGAGTGCTGGAGGACCTGGGTTCAGGCCCCAGTGAAGACTGGGATTTTTTCACGTGGACTTCTAGTAATTTCCCCGGGTCTCTGGGTAGTCAGATCGGACACCCATGTGTATTGTTGCGTACGTTTAAAAAATAACCTTGGCAGTTGGAAATCAAAAAAAAAAAAAGTAGCATAACGGCGCTGCCCGGGCAAAAAAAAAATTTGGAGTTGAAAAATCTACCCAAAGTATTAAAAGGATTCTCACTGGTGCTACGGAGTTCTGCACTGTGCTGAGATTCTTCAATCTCAAGCTTGAGTTAGAAGTAGAATGGAGCACTTATGGGTTACTACCCTAGTGCTATGATGTTGATCCGTTGTTTAAACCAAACCTTAACCTTTATTTCTTATGCGAACATTGTTTGGTGTACGTCCTGTTTGGTATAAATCCGAGGATCTGGAATGGATTGATAACAGATACCAAGGTCAAGAGTAAAGGACCGTTTTCAAAACCTTTAGAAATATTGGGCATATAGGGCTTGACCTATGTTTTATTGACCAATCAGCACTCGATGGATGATGTCACGCCAGCCATCTTTGTCGTACACCTAGGTACCACTGAATTTTCAAAATGAGGACACACAGCATTAACAGAAGACAATGGGATTTGTGTTATCATTGTCTTCAATATCCACTTTTGTCGTTGAGCATTGAAGGAGAGGAACAGTTTACTATCCATCACTCGTTGAGTATCGCTGGTTATTTTCATGCCGTGTTGGTGTAAATGTCTTTGATGTCGTAAATCCTCTTGCTCTTTGAGCTTTCTCTTTGTCAGGTCTAAGTCATGTAGGTTTTTCCACTGTGCTAGATGCCCAAGCTCAGTACTAAAGAAGTCATGAAAGGTGTGAAGTATCATTGTAAACCAGTGATTCTTTATTCAAATTCTCACCCTTATGCCAGGCACGGACCAGGTAACTTCTCAGCTCTGAAAACAAAACACACAAAAATCTCTAAATCGTCATCATCATCAGATCCAATTTTTAGTTTTGCCGTTAAGCGTTGTAAGGGAGGAACAAGTTATGATCCATTTGCTCACTTTGTAGCACACTGTCTGACGTCATTCTGTGTTGATGTAAAATGTCTTTAATATCAGTCCTTTTTCTCTTAGGGTGCCCTTTTGCTTTCACGCCATATCATTTTAGATGTAGTGCCTGTGTTTGGTAGTTGTTATGGTTGCATTCTGGTGAGATGACTGAACCATTTATCTTTTGCTTCTCAATGAATTGATGTGTGGTATTGTCTCTACAGTCTTGTCTGATTGTATTATTTTTCACCCTGTCTCAGATGGTAAAGTTGTTGGCTTTCCTTATCCATCTCATCTCACATGTGTTAATGTTACACAAAGATTAGCCATTGATAATGTCCAAGTTTAGCACTGGTAACATACTCATCATCATGTAGCAGGTCCTTTGCAGAACGTCACTCTCATCACAGTCTGCCTGAAAGAAACTCGGTCTCTCGCCAGTTCTCCCACCTCATGAACTTTCACACTCAAGAAGTCACTTATATCCTGTGCCCATCTTCGTGGTGGTCGGCCCCTGCCCCTCCTTCATGGTATCATGCTTCTGCTATAATTTTTCCCAGTCCGTCGTGGCGCTTGATATGACAAAAATATTTCAGCTTCCAAGAAAGGATGCTGTTTATTAGCCAATCTTTCTTGATGTTCAGATCTTTCAAGATGTCAATATTTCTCCTCTTCTTTGTCCAAGATATTCTGAGAATCTTTCTATAGCATTTCAACTCAAAAGCACCTATTCTCTTTCTTAAGGACTGTTCTCACATCCATTTGTAGCTACAGGGAAGATGCATGCTCTCAAAATTCTAATTTTTATCTCCTTGTTGGTGCTTAACCATAGACTTTTAAGGCTGTTCAATCTTTGCATTGCTATGGCCATCCTCCTTTTAATTTTTGTCAAACAGTCTCCATTGCTATTTATTATAGAGCCTAGATATTCAAAGTTTGTGACATTTTTAATTTCTTCATCATTTATTATTTCTGAGCGACAGCCAGTTTTATCTGTGGACATTATTTTCGTTTTCTTTAAATTCAAGAACAGATTTTGATCTTCACTGTGCTTTTGGGCAGACAATATTAAATTTTCTATTCCCTTTACACTGTTAGAAAGGAATACTGTGTCGTCTGCATAGCAAAGTTCCGGAATAAGGTTGCCACCAATTTTGAGTGGATCATAACTGTCACAAGTCTGGTCATTTTTTACATTCCTCATTATATTTTCTGCATATATATTGAATAGGTAAGGTGAGAGAATGCACCCCTGCCTCACCCTTTTTTGCACCTCAAACCAATCCATGTTTCACCAGCTGCTCTGATGGCTGTTCATGTGGCAATATGCTTTCTAGATATTTAAAATCTTTGCCTAGCTTCAGACCTGTACCAACCCTGTATGTAGTGGACTAGGAATTCTAATGACTGGTTTGTGCATATCACTTGAAAGGATTCATGTCTTGTGCTTCAATCTGTCTGTCTATCTATCTATCTATCTATCTATCTATCTATCTATCTATCTATCTATCTATCTATCTATCTATCTATCTATCTATCTATCTATCTATCTATCTATCTATCTATCTATCTATCTATCTATCTATCTATCTATCTATCTATCTATCTATCTATCTATCTTTTATCTCACTAGGACATCACACAAGCGATAAACACCTGATGACACAAAGTGCCACCATGTGGATGAGGATCACAGCGAAGAGGTCCCAGAAACCGCGTTCAGCCATTAGACCATACTTATGGTTGGGCTATATTGCCGCCCCTGGCAACAGCCAGAGTAGGGTTTCAAAAAATGAAAAATTGCATCTCACAAGGAGATGACTGTTACCATTATGCTTATTATGCTGATGTAATTAATTATGTCTTTAATTATGCACTTGATGAGATACAACAAAGTGAACAAATTGTGCAATATTTTGTTTGTATTTAGCAAATTTCTTCATTTAATTCTTTGTCTGTCAGTTTAATTCTTTGTCTGTCTGTCTGTCTGGTACATTCCTCTTTTATGTGTGCTGCACGATGTTTTCCTTCATAACTTTTAATTCAGTTATCTGTGTGAAAGTTTTTTTTAATGTAATATATAATATGATACTTACCTCCTTTTTCTTCCGTATAAACCTCTCTTTGTTTTTTTTTTTTTTTTTTTTTAAATAAAAGAATGAACCCTTTGAGTTTGATCACAACAGTTTAATATTTGTCCAACTAGTTTTCACAGGGTCTTCTCCAAAACATTGACTTTAACGGCTTGGTTTTTTTTTTAATGTAAAGGTTTTTCAATAACATGATGTTCTTTTTGGATTGCAGGATTTAAGCACGCTTGCACCACGGAAGCCTGACTGGGATTTGAAGAGGGACATTAGTAAGAAACTTGAGAAATTAGAGCGTCGGACACAGCGGGCAATAGCAGAATTGATTAGTAAGTTCACTACATGAAGTTCTATGCTTCTCTCTCTAGCAGTACTTGCATGTTCAGAAGAGAGAAAATTATTCTGGCTCACACCTGCTACTTTTGAGGATACACTCTATGGAGGTTGATATCAACAACCTCAAGTTGACTGCCACTTTTAAAAAATATATTCACATTGACTCATGATTCTAAAGCCACTGAGCTTAGAATGATCCTGAAAAGGTTTTGGTAGTGGGATTAATTAGCTGTGCACCCAGTCCTGCGGTACTGATGCTGTCTTAATGCTCTGGTTAAAACAGTCGGCCATCTCTGCCAGGTCTACATCGCTCAAAGCCTTCATGTGGCCATACCTGACCCCATCAGGCACTGGTGCAGTGTCCTTTGCTTTTTTCAAAATTTGTTTTAATATCTTCCACTTGTATCATGTCTTCATAATGCATATTCTTTAAGGAGGCAGCTAACTCCATTCTAACTGCATCCCTGATGTCTACATCATTATGATCTGTCTGAGCTATAAACCTATGGAGAAAAGTCTCCCCCTTCTCCTCGTCTGTTGTCATACGCACACCATCGTCCCTACAAATTGTTCCTACTGTCGTAGGCCGATCTTTTCTTTGCATCTGCCTTTGCAGTTTCCAGAATTTCCCAAATGTTTTATCGCCTCCCATATCATTCACAAAAGTATCCCACTTCGCTCTTTTGGCCTCTGCAGGACAGCGCTTGAAAACCTCCACCTTATCTTTTTTCACATTCTCCGTCATCTCCACTTCCTTTCGTGAGCTTGAGGGTGTTTGTCGTACTTTCTTTAGCTGCTTCACTGCGGCTCTCTTTGCCTTCCACGCCAGTTCTACTTCTGGAGTCTACCATGGGGGCTGTAGAAAACTAGTTCTGGCAGTTCTGTTGCATGCTCCCTGTCTGAGGCGTTCGAGTAGGTTGTTTTATACCGGAAGGTCTTGCGTGCTTTCCCAACCTTAACCTTACTGGGTTTAGAAATCAGGACTGAACATGGTAGGTGATCACTCCCATAGTCATTCAGGACAGTCCATTTAACATCTAAAACCGACGACTGGGAAACAGATGTCAAGTCAATGGCTGTGTCTGCATCACCAGACCTCATTGCCATTCTAGTCGGCCTCCCATAATTGATGCAGACCATATCGGAGTCAACCATGGCCTCTGCAAGAGCAATTCCCTGTTGGTTTTCTCCGCTGCTGTCCCATTCTCTGTTTTTCACGTTGAAATCCCCACATTTGAGTAACCTATCACCTGGTAACTCCTCCAATTCCTTGAGCCAGCCCCATTGTTCACTTCTGACAAAACAGTCTACCGTGGCAAATATATTTATGAGGTTCTAACTTAAGCCACCAATCTCCACCTGTATCCCTTGAACCTCTCGTCCACTGTGGTTCCACTGGCTCAAGTCTAGCACCACATGCTTCACTTGCTCCTTTACCACTAGACCTTGTCCATGTCTCTCTTGTCCAACAGGCTTTTATATAACTGACGTACCCTGGGCAATGTTATCTGTCTGTATTTAGCTCCTGGAGCATGATGACATCAAAATCAAAATTCAACCTCTCCAGTACAAGACCTCTCTGCCTAGCACTCCGAACAGTTCCAGTATCCTACTCTTACATGATTGAAGCTCAATCTCTCTGCTTTTCGTCTTGTTCTCCTAATACCTTCCCTCCTATTTCTATGCCTTCTTCTCTCTCCATTCCCTCGCCGTCTCCTCCTCACTCTCTCTCCATGAACCGCTGAAGAATGTGTCAAGCGCAGAGCACGTGCTCCGTAGCTCCGGCGCTGATTCCTTTGTATATTTTTAAAATCTATATGCGAAAAAATAGAGTACTGCAGGAAATGACCAGTCACCCTAGTTAGCGCCTATGCAGATCGAATAAGAAAGCTCAGTCACAGTAGAGCCATCCACCAAATCTCACCCCAGTGGAGTTCTCGTGGCATGGATGGAGTCCAGTATCTTTGGCTTATCTCATCGGTGTTCACCATGAGGATTATCTTTGCTTTCCTCAATCTCTATTTTTTTCCTGCTTCATTGCCAGTCTGGTGATTCTCTGTTTGTCTCTTCTCTGAATGTGTCCATTTTTTCTTGTAACTGTTGATTCTAGTGGTTGCCCGGACATTTCTGTTTTTTCTTTACTGCTCTTGAACACATCCTCCTCGTGTGGGTTCCTGAGCCCCATTGTGGGGGAAAACAAGAATAGACTCACTGCCTGCCCAAAAGCATGTTGTAAGAGTCGACTACTTGAGAGCTTCCTTCAAAGTCGGCATACATCTGCCTGAGGGGCAGGAAACCAACAGTCTGTATGCAAATGAGTCAGTCCTGTGAAAGGGATGTACATGCAACACTCAGGTTCTGGAACAGGACTGGAGTCCAGAAGTGGACAAACAACCAGAACTTTCTGCTGAAGTTTGCAGCCGGTGAACACTAGGAAGAAGAAGAAGAATTTCTCCCATTTAATTTCTATCATTGTCCAGGTGAGTAAGTTGACATTTTCACTCCGAAGTCAGATTGCTTCTGCCTGAGAAACAGGAACCAGCACTTTGCTTAACAATAACCTAGATCTGTAAAATGCATATGCACGCACAACTCAAGTTTTGGAACAGGAATCAGGTCCAGACATGGACAAACAACCAGAATTTTCTGCTGGAGTTTACCGCTGGCAAATGCTAAGAAGAAGAAATCATAATGAATGTTGTATGTATGAATTTTAATGAAATATTGCCCATGTTAAACATTTACATCTGCAGTGGGGAATAGTTGCCACACACATTTGATGTCTCTTTTGTTAATTCCTGTAGGAGAGAGATTGAAAGCCAACCAGGAAGACTTGGCATCAGTGGTTATGGGAGAACAGACTTGCAGAACAGATATTCCAGATGATGACTAATTAATTGAATGTATGACAGATGTTCCAGATGATGACTAGATGATTGAATGTATGACAGATTATGACTAGATGATTGAATATATGACAGATGTTCTAGATGATGACTAGTTGATTTAATGTATGACATATGTTCTAGATGATGACTAGTTGATTGAATGTATGACAGATGTTCTAGATGGTGACTAGATGATTGAATGTATGGCAGATGTCCCAGATGATGACTAGATGATTGTACGAATGGAGGTGGAATGTTTTTTTTTCTTGTGTGTGTCGGAGGGCACAAGTTTGTTTGTAAATAAGAGGGAGAAACAAGCAGGTTTCATGCTTTCCGGGGCCCACATAGAAGCAAACACTAACATACCATAGATGTATGTAAGAGAGTTTTAATGAGACTGCCCACCCAGTCCTATAGAGAAGTTCAGCTCCACCCAGTCAGGGACAGTTCTGTAAGGCATGAACTGGTTGAGAGCTTGTGCTCTTGTGGAAGATGAAAGAAGAAGACAAGCAGGTTGAAGGAGATAAGTCATTTCTTTCTCTTAATGAAATGGAAAGGAGGGGGGAAGGTGTGTGTCACACAGGTAGACGGTTGATAGATAAAAAAGGAAAATGAGTTAGAAATCTGTTGAAAAAGAAACATATGTTTTTGTAGGACCTTGTGAGTGGGAGTGAGATTCAACTCCCACCTGGTCATCAACCAAGCGATAAACAAAGTGTCACCGTGCGGATGAGGATCACCAGGGGAGAGGTGACAGAAACTCTGTTCAACCATTAGGTCATATTAGCCAGGGGGTGGGGCTTTAAAACAAACAAAAAAATTGCGTCCAGCATTGGGACGCTGTGGTTTACAGGACCTTGTCGATTTGAGTTAATTCTTTTTTTGACTTGAAGAATTCGGGGGCTGATGATGGCTTGGTCCAATCCTGACAGGCAAGTAGTTGTGAGCTCTCTGTTCGTCACTGCACAGTGTCAGTGCTGATTGTCTGCCATCCTCTGTCAACTGTCACTATGTAGCACTTTTTATGGTAGTGTAGACTAGGGGGTCGTGAATTGAGGATTTAGAGCCACATGGCTAGTGCTCATCGCCATGGACTGTGAAGGTTATGATGTTTAATTTTGCCTCTGATAGAAAAACATTTTACCGGGGGTCGAACCCAGGTCTTCTGCATGAGAGCCTGATGTTGTAACCACTCCTCTCACGGAAGATTAATGTAGATTGTTGCAATTTGTAGCCTCAGAAGGCTTCGCAATGGTGGAGATTTTATGCTGGATCCTTCCCTCTGTTAGCTACACCAGTTTCTGTCCAGGATGCTCCATGTGGAGGTAAAGATGTTTGTCAGTACATAACATTGACATTGAAGCAGCTCTGCACCCAGTTGCAGCGTAATTGTTTTTGTAAAACACATTACCATTAAATCATTCTTGTCTGTTATCTTTATAAAAATATTTTTATTTGTAAGTTTTGCTCAAATGCTTGTGTTTTGACTGGATTTCAGCAATGAAATATATTTCCTTACCTGTTAAGCAAGATTTAAAAAAAATTATTATTAGAATGGGGGAGAGGGGGGGGGGGGGGGTTTAGATCTACTCTCTCCCTCCGCCCCCTCCCCAAGCATGTTATAAATTTGACTAATTTGGGGTGTTTCCTTGGAAACCAGAGTGCATCTCCTGAGTTGTGAGGAATCAGCAGCCTTAACAATTTCATCACGTAGCAGGTCCTTTGCAAAACATCGCTCTCATTACGGTCTACCTGAAAGAAACTTGGTCTCTAACCAGCTCTCCTGCCTTGTGTACTTTCATATTTAAAGAGTCACCTGTGCCCATCTTCGTGTTGGTTGTCCCATGCCCCACCTTCCTCCTACCATACCTGCTATTTTCCAATCCACCATGGCGCTTGATATGACCAAAATACTTCGGCTTCTGAGAAAAGATGCTGTTTATTAGTAAATCTTCTTTGATGTTCAGATCTTTTAAAAGTTGTTACTCCTTCTCTGTTTTGTCTATGGTATTCTGAGAATCTTTCTACAGCATTTCAGCTCAAAAGTATTGAGGATGTCTCAACCGAAACTGACTCACAAAGAGAACTGATTGACCACATTAAAAAGAGACAAGTCTACATTCTTTGGTCATGTGATGAGAAGTAGAAAAACTGGTTGGAGGGGATGAGAATAAAAGAATGAACAAACTTTCAAAGGGTTACAAATTGGGCACGCAGGCCTGTCTTAAATGAGAAGCAAAGGGAGACCAAGAGAAAAGATGCTGGACAGTCTGACATTACGGTATGTAAGATCATCTGTGTCAGAGTTGATTGAAAGTACATGAGAAAGAAGGTTGTGGATTGACTTGACTACCAAAGCCACACAGTATGGAAGATCATCTGTGTCAGAGTTGACTGAAAGTACATGAGAAAGAAGGCTGTGAATAGACTTGACTACCAAAGCCACACGTCATGGACTTGAAGAAGAAGGTTGTGGATAGACTTGACTACCAAAGCCACACGGCGTGGACTTAAAGAAGAAGGTTGTGGTTAGACTTGACTACCAAAGCCATACGTCGTGGACTTGAAGAAGAAGGTTGTGGATAGACTTGACTACCAAAGCCACACGTCGTGGACTTGAAGAAGAAGGTTGTGGATAGACTTGACTACCAAAGCCACACGTCATGGACTTGAAGAAGAAGGTTGTGGATAGACTTGACTACCAAAGCCACACGTCGTGGACTTGAAGAAGAAGGTTGTGGATAGACTTGACTACCAAAGCCACACGTCGTGGACTTGAAGAAGAAGGTTGTGGATAGACTTGACTACCAAAGCCACACGTCATGGACTTGAAGAAGAAGGTTGTGGATAGACTTGACTACCAAAGCCACACGGCGTAGACTTGAAGAAGAAGGTTGTGGATAGACTTGACTACCAAAGCCACACGGCGTGGACTTGAAGAAGAAGGTTGTGGTTAGACTTGACTACCAAAGCCACACGGCATGGACTCGAAGGTCATCGTGCAGCCTTTTGTTTTAGAAATATTATTTCCGCAGTAATTTTTTTTTTTTCTTTTTTTTGGGTGGCTGACCATGTCTAGCACTGATAGCTTAGGATGGGTATGGATATGCTCTGTATGAGATGTTTCCTTCTGCTGACTTGGATTGCTGTAAAGGGGGCAAGCTGTCCCAAAGATTTGGTCTGCTTTATGCAACATTTACTACACAGAAATATGACACTGACAGAAATAAACTAGGAATGATATCTCTAAATAAACTGAAAACAACACAATAGTATTTGTTTTAATAACTTTCATTTCTTCTGAAATGGGATAAAACAACATACTTTCATATCTCTGGGTAAAGAAAAGACTCCCATCACTGCTTACCATCAACTTGATTATGTTTTCTTCCTTCTACATCTAAGCTTTTTTTCTTACTTCTGGTGCCATTCAATGCTTACAGACGTATGAATCTGCTTTTGTTGGACTTAAGTGAGGTCATAAATAGGGGGTGGTTGCAGTCAAGCTATGGACAAGATGTGCTAAATTTTTGATAGTTTAAAATGAAGAATTGGTTGATGAACAGTATAAATAATGAATATTTTAACAAACAATTCATCTAATATATTTAATCAAAAACATGTGTTAGAATCTAAATTATTGCACTAACAATTTTCATGAAACTGAATCAGCAAAGTTTAAAAATATAAATGTTTGACGAAGTAAGATAATGAGAATAAATCAGGCAAATAGCAATATGGTATCGCACCCCAAGACTTAGAATCTTACATGTATTCTAGGCACTAATGTAGATAAAGATGAGGGAACTGATTGAGATATTAAAATACTAATATAAAAAGCAAGAGGAGCTGAATACCACTAGGACATTTCTACAGGTCAAAAGAAATTAAAACTCATATTAAACTTGAAATTTTTAATTCTAATCTCAAATCAGAACAATTATGTGGAGACGAAACATGGAGAAAAACTAAGGCAATTACTAATAAACTAAAAACATTAATTGCGCAGAACAGAAAATTAAATAGTATGACAGAATCACTAAAGTAGAGCTTTGGGAGAGAACAAGTTCCAGTGGACCAAGAGGTAAAGAAAAGGCATTTGCCTTGGACAGGACCTACGTTGAGAAAACTTGAGAACAGTATAACTAGAACATCTTTGCACTGGAACCTTTTGGGTATAGAAATAAAGGACAAACAAAAAACATATGGAGAGTGAAGTTCAAAACATTGGCAGGACACACGGAGAGCTGTATGCAACAGCGAATTATAGAAATACCTGGTATGAGTTGGTCGAGGGTCTATGCCCCAATGGGGGATAGAAAGCATGCAAATGTGTCACTCAACCCCACCAGGACCGTACAATGAGCAATCAACATCCAGTGACATAAAGAGCCACCATTAGTATGAGGATCACACCGGCATCTCCCAGAAACCCCGTTCAACTGTTAGATCATATTAGGGCCCCTGACTACAGCTGGGGTGGGGATTTAAAATAAGGAAAAATTGCGTACCACACTGGGAAGAAAAACAGTTTAAGAACGGAAGACAGAGGAAGAAAGTAAGATGTTAACTGCAGAACTGTTAGCAAAAATGTTAACATAGTTTGTATGTTAAATAGTTTATACTGAAGCAGCTTGAAAAAACAACCACAAATATTTCCACAGATAGTAAGGAAACATGTGGCAGGTTCTGGCGAGGTGCGGAACCTGTTTATTTATAAGCTTTTATTCAAAACAGGTAAAAACGTCTTGGATTTTAAAACTACTTACACCCTAAATCTGGTGATATTGTGAGGTGATCAAATATTATTCTGGAATTTCTTTCTTAAAATAATTTATGAAAAAAATATGGAATTTAAAATGTCTATTTAATGCATTAATGCCATGGATAGAGCTAAGGGTCACAGACTAAAAACAGGAAGGTCTTGGATGGCGCAAGATGAAGACACAGACAGACATGTGTGCATGCTCAAATATTAGGCAAAGACAGGAGAGTGTCAAAGTTT